GAGTTAGGTACCTAATTGCCTTAAACTTTTTTTGAAACTCTCAGCTCAAATTTCTGAAGCCAGCTCCCCTGGATCCAGAAGCATTATGTAAGTACAGGAGGTGAACGGATTAGCCTTTCACCTCTGGAGATCTAGGGTCATACACCGGCTAAGGTCAGGAGTGGTACAAGTTTTGTGACCACAGCATAGCCCTTAACGCACATCTGTCCACGTAATCAGTCTCTCCAGGGAATCTGACAATTTGGGGTTCAGGGGTGAGGGCTCCAGCAGCTAGGTTAGTGTAGTTACAGATTAAAATGCATTGAGGACAAAAGTCATCCATATGCCAAAGGCCAGAATTGTCCACTTATGTCTTATTATTGAGAGCTTAAGTGAGACCTAGGTAGGGTTATGCTTTGGGTTGCCCCTACATGAATTTCACCCTCGGAGAACTGTGCAGAGAAGCCTGTATGTCACTCGCCCAAACTACTGGGCTTTGGACCATATTGGTCTCTTGATTTCGTACAGCATCGCATTCTGCAGCATCTTGAATTTAGAAATAAAACCAAACGTGAGCATTAGAAAAATGCAGCTGGGGGTGGGGGGTGTTATTACAGCTAAGGCTGAAGGGGGATTCTTGGCTGGTGATTTAAAATGATGCCCACCACTGCTTCTCACAAGGACAGCATTTTTTGTTTCTAAAAACTAAGTCTTTAACATGGAGCACGAATAAGGAGGGGTTTGCTCTGGAAGTTCTGATCTCCACATGCATTTGGCAATATAAGGAAAAAGGAGGGGAGGGAGGGAAGAAGAGTGAAAAATCATCCCATTTTAGGTAATTTTCTTACAAATATTTCCACCCAGGGGACACATGTGAGTTGGCTCTTTGGGCAAACGTGGCGATGTGCCGTTCTGTCCGTGAAATATGTGTCAGATAAAGTAGGTCAGCTTGGAAACCCTGTTAACACACATTCCGGAATGCTGCATGGGAACAGAAATTTGGACAAATCTGCGGCATCGACCCAGCCTACAGAGCAAAGCTCTGCTCTCTCTCCTCTTCCTCACTTATAAACAGTGCCACTACACCACTGCAAGCAAGCAGAAAGATCCTTTCAAGAGCTGCTGCTGTGCGGCAGTGCAAACTGAGTGCCAGGTGCAGAACGCAAGTGCGACCGTTCTGACTGAGCAATGTCTTATGCCCACTTAGTGCCAGTATAAATGACTGCAGGGGAATGAGGAATCAGGTCCTAAGCTGCAGTTCTGAATACTGGATCGCTTCGCTCTTGACAGATTCCAGTAACATCTCCACCCTCTGTACAGCAATTCCAATGCTCCACCGTCTGAGTGCAAATGCTCCTGGCTTTGTTACATTTCACAGTCCATGCCAATCACAATGCTCCCTCAGGTTCAGTGGCAGCTGAGGTCCCGTCCCCTTTGGAATGACAGCTGCTCTGTAGTTTCATGCGCAACGCTGCTTACATTTTGCATCCCCTTTCCATGGCGGCTGTTTGAGTTCCTGTTTGGCCCTGCCAGCAGTGTCAGCCCAACAGCGATGCCTGTGCCGGCACAGTTATAGCAGAGGGCAGGCATCCGGTCCTTTGCGTTGGGGAAGAACCATGCAGCTCTGCAATGACTCAAGCAACAAGGGAGCTGCAGAGAGGGCCTGGAAAAGAAGGGCTGAAGCACGGAAGGACTGACGGAGGAGATAAGGCTGCGAAATGGCCACTCGGGACAATTCATAGCTTCCCAGATTCCAGAGCCATAAGGGACCACTGTGATCATCTAGTCTGACCTCCTGTGTAACACAAGCCATAGGACCTCCCCCAAATAACTCCCAGGGCAGATCTTTTAGAAAGACAACCCATCTTGATTTTTTAAATGGTCAGTGATGGAGAATCCACCACAACCCTTGGTAAATTGTTCCAGGGTTAATTACTCATTGCTAAAAACGTATGCCCTATTTCCAGTCTGAATTTGTCTAGCTTTAACTTCCAGCCATTTAGTCATGTTAGACCTTTCTCTGCTAGACTGAAGAGCCCGTTATTAAATATTTGTTCCCCATATAGGTACTTGCAGACTGTGATCAAGTCACCCCTTAACCTTCTCTTTGTTACGGTACATAGATTGAGATTCTTGAGTCTATGTAAGGCATTCTTTCTAATCCTTTAATCCTTCTTGTGTGGCTCTTCGCTGAACCCTCTCCAGTTTATTAACATCCTTCTTGAATTGTGGGCACCAGAACTGGACACAGTATTCCAGCAGCGGTCGCACCCGTGCCAAATACAGAGGCCAATGGCAATTCCTCAGCCCAACGTGGCAGCCCATTGGAGCAGGGGCATTTAATGCATGCGCTAGGGGAGTGGCAGAGGCGTGGCTGGTGGGTCTGTGAAGTGCACAGCCCCACTGCCCAATACGCAGCTCCTGGGCTAGTGGTAGCAGCCATGGCACAACTGAAGAGGTGCCCCATGCATGCCCCATCCCTGGCCTCCAGGGGAAGGATGCTACCAGACCCAGGCTTTATTTACCCAGGCTTTATGGAAAGGGTGAGCATACCACCTTAACAATGCAAAAGCCCCATGACACGTGTATACACATGCGCTGCATAGGATTCTGTCGCAGAATTAAGACAAGACCATGTTATGTAACGTGCTGTTCACTCCCAGATAATCTTCAAAGTACCAGTTCTGCTGCCTTTATTACTTATTCCCTAGCATGTGAATTAAAGGGAACAGTCAAGTCGTTTAGTCTAAAAATGTGACCTACATTGAAACTGTTACCAACCGGGGGGGGATGGCTGCTGGATTTGAAAGACCAATTGCTTTGGAGAGTCCACCGCACGGCAGTAAGAAATTAAAACCAGTGTTCAATCGTCACTGCTACTGGGGGACCCGGGATATGGCACGGACACTTCTTGCTGGCTCTTTGAACCAGGTCGCATCAGGCAACCTTCCCTCTTCACAGAAGCCTTTGCTGCAGCTGCATTCACAGACCAGCCGTGGCCAACATTTTCAAACATGGCTACCCACAGTAAGGCCCCTAAATAAAAGTGGCCGGTGGGAAGTTGCTGGGGGCTGTGGGGACACAGCACGTCTGAAAGGGAGAGCGCTTTCAGTTGGGTGCCTAAGTGTGAATATAAATGCCTGGCTTTAGGGCACCAAGTCTGAAAATTCGAGCTGTGTTTAGAGTTTAAAGGAGTCCCATTTGTGGCTGGGTATTTTTCTCTGTGACGGAGCATCACCACTATGTTCGGGGCTCTAAAACACTGACAGGAAAACAGTTTCCCCACCCCGCAGAACTGATTGCCAGACTGCCCTGTCCCACTATCGCTGACTTAGCCGGGCCCAGCTCAGACAGCTGGCTGGCTTCGATCAGACTCCTCACATTACCCCACAAGGAATGCCCAGCTACAAAGCAGAACAACTTTGATTATAAACTCTGACTCCTGTCAGCGCTGCAGGGCAAAGCAGAGGCCCTGACTTTGGAGGTGGGAATTTAATTGGTGGCTAAACAAGGACAAGAAAGAAAAGTGTCAGGGACAAAGATGTTATGCTTTCATGAATGAGAGGGGTGATGATCTGTGCACTTGTGAAATGGGGTGGTGGGGTGCTGGTCCACACGGCAGCTTCCTTGCTAAGATGGGTGACTCATGCGATGAAAACGTTTGAGTAGCCCTAAGCTAGAGCATCAGGTTTCTTCATTGTGAGGGTGAACGTGAGATTGACGACAATGCCCTTCAGGCTCCCTCAGCTCTCGGGGGGGGGGGGGGAGAAACCTGGCTAGAGCCATCCTGGGAAAGGGCTACAAAATGAGTCAAAGCCACTCGGATGGCCCAACGCCGTGCTATGCGCCAAACGTACAAGGAGAGAGAGAGACGTGATGTGAAAACTTCTCTGCAAGCAGGTTTCAGCCGAGTAACGGAAATGCGCTCAGATAACAGCCCTGGAAAACTCAGCGTGACATGGTTGTGTCTTCTCAGTACCTCAGGCTCTGGGTGACCCACTTTAGTGGGATTGCCCTGGGCCTGCGTGGCTGGCTTGCTGATGTACGGTTACACCAGCCAATGGATACCATGCTAGCACCAACCCGTCAACTCACGCCCACCTGACAGTCTCTGTTTAGCCCAAGCCCCGGACTCTCCTTGGCAGATACGAGCCAGCTGAAAAGAGCAGGCACTGTTCATCAAGGAACTGCCAAGTGACGAACTGAAGGGTAATGCTGCCTTCCCTTCTCCTTCAGGTCCCACTTTCAGCTTCACTTCTTGCACCTCCTCTCCTGTGCTATCTGTCTGGGGGTTTCCTATGGCACCCCTGGAGTACCCGAGTGCCCGACTGTCATGTCTGACTTGATCCCTTAACATAACGGTGCGTGCCATGCAGAGCAACACAATCACTCTTCCTGTTGCATTCCTGTACCTGCCCCTCTGCACCATGCTAATTTAGGGGCTGATCTTGCAAGGTGCTGGGGGCCCTCACCTTAGGGTGACCATATTTCCTAAAGTAAAAACGGGATGGCTGGGGCTCGTCTGAGCCCAAGCTGCCGCCCCCCCCTCCGCCTCCCAAGGCTGGGGCTGACTCCTCCCCTCTCCCCCCCGAGCTCCGTACCCCATGACAACCATGGCTGGGGCTGACCCCCAAGCCCCCACTGCCTGTGGTTGGGGCTGACCCTCCCCCCCCGAGCTCCGCAAGTCAGGACGGCTGGGACAGCGCTTAGAAACGGGACTGTCCCGGCCAGAACGGGACGTACGGTCACCCTACCTCACCTCCCACTGAAGTCAACAGAGCTGAGGGCTGTTGTCATAACTGCGGCCTAGCAGGGCCAACTTTAACCATAAGCCTAACTGCTGAAAAGTGGGTATTGCCACACCGATCTGTGACAGAACACTGATTAAGAAAAGATGTGAGGCGGAGACAGAACGACTGAACCACTGCAGTCAGAACGGCTCTGCTGATTTCACTCAAGCGCTGGGTTACAATTACAACCGGGAAACAAGAGGCTCAGAAACCAGAAAGCTTTGAACTGACCTTCAGTTTGTGCTCGTGCTCCTTGTTGACTCGGGACAGCAGCTGGGCTTTCCTTCTGTTGAGCGCGTCAATGAGGGCATCGCACTGTGCCACCAGGCAGGCTTCGAACTCCACGCTGTTCTCCTGCGTTAACAAAGCACAGCTCACAGCCCCGGGGATTTCACCTGCGCCTGCTGCAGCCCATCCATCACTCGTCTGGAGGGGACCCCCCCCATGTTAACTACTCTGACTCCATGTTGCTGGAAGCTCCCATTGGCCCCTTGCCCCTCCAGATATGTCCCTTCAGCCTCTCATTGGCCAGTCAATTGGGATAGGAACTAGCTCTCGGGAGGTGGGTTGGAGTGGAGTCCACATCTGGGTAAGGATGGGAGGTTTTCCAGCAGCGGACTGGCTGGTCAGGTCGGGTGTGTGGGATGAGGGAACTGGGAGTGGGGGGAGCCTGAAGGGGCTGCGAGGGGTTGTCTTGGGGAGGGATAACAGTCAGGAGGCTGGGATGTGTTTGGGAGGTTAGATTAGATGATGGGGGCAAATATAGAAGGAACTGGAATAGCAGAAACCAGGTGGAATTTACTGAGGACGAATATATTTGTCCCAGCGTTTTAAGAATTAAACAACTTTTAGTTCTTCCTGCCTCCATCCAGTGAAAGAGTTACTTTGTGCTATACACTAAACCTTAACTGCACTAACGATGGGTAATAGCTCCGGACCCCTCTGATCGCTCTATATCTTGCAGTGTTTATTCAGATCCCAATCCTGCAAGGCCCTACTCAGGGATGTAATTTTACTCACGCGAAGGTAATGGGACTAGTGGCATGAATAAGAAACACTTCGAGAGTAAGGGTGACAGGAGCAAGGAGATAATATGGGATTGCGAAGGCATGAATAGCCACCTGCGAACTTCTCTGAGCCCACTAAGAGCTGGAGGGAGGCTACGTGGAAGGTAAGTTCCTTTAAGTAATTAATCATACACATCTATGCAGTGCTGTAAACGTGCTTTACTGCCTCAGGGCTAATGTGCCTCATCCCCAAAAGATTTCAGTTTTGATCTGCACGTTATCAATGTTATGCTAATTTGGGCCTTTAATAATGCCTTAATTCTAAAGAGTTCACTGAGCTGTGGGAATTTTTATTCGTTTGGGGGTGTTAGTTGGGACGGGGAAATCCTCTGATGTTTTGGGGCTATGATGTTCATTTGGTCATTTCATGTGGTTGATTTCGGGGGTTATCAAACCAAACAGTTACTGCACACAACACTGAGCTGTACCTCTGTACCCGGCGAAGGCACCATCTGGTCCCTACATCCAGCAGAGTTCTCTCAAAAGGCTGCGTAAAATGGGGCCAAGTTGTTAGCAATTGGCCCAGCCTATAACATGAAATCTTGTCAATAACGCATTGGTTTTAATCAATCACAAGTATCAGTGCAGTGCTATGGTGACAGTTTTGGGTCATCAGGTCAGAGGTTCCTTTTTACCTTTTGTAGGGTCTGAGTCTTGCTCAGGTGAGACACCTCACTCAATTCAACGGGCTAGGTTATCATTCTTGTTATTGATTATGTATATTGCCGTAGCAGCCAGGAGCCCCAGTCCTGGACCAGGACTCCATTGTGCTAGGAGCTGTACAAACACAGAACAAAAAGATGGCCCCTGCCCCAGAAAGTAGCCCTGTTATCTTCACTGGGAGTGCTCATGTGCTTAGAGTTGAGGACATGTTGTTTAAGTGCTTCGCTTAGCTGGGGCCTCCTAGACTCTGCCACTCACACTGAATATGACCTATGTGGCTGCTCGTAGTGAGGTACACTACTCAGTGTGATTAAGTGTGGCTGAATCGGGCCCTGACTGAGTAAGGGCTGGAGGATCAAGATCATAATGGGGAGGAACATGGCTAATTCCGTAATTGCCTACATGAAGTAAGTTCCTGGAAATCTAGGCTTTGGAACTATCAAGTGCTTCCATCCACACTGCTCCCCCGGAGATAGGTTCACATCAGCCATGTACAAACGGGGGCAGGAAATCCTGCTGGAAATGGCATCTGAACTAAACCCACCACGCTGGGAGGAAGGAGCTGCGCACAGGGGAAGGCTGCACTTTGGCTGGGAGGGGGCAGGGAAGTGGGTCTTTGAATTTGGCAGCAGCAGAGACTGATTGATGGATCAGCCGCTGGTGCCTTGGGAAAGACAGAAAGTGGGTCACCGTTCCGGAGACCTGAATGAACAGCAAAACAAGCTGTCCATGCCACAGAGAGCAGCACTTTACACCGTCAGATTCTAAGCCACTTCTGTCTGAAGGTTTGTTAAATATTAACCTCGAAAGCATGTTTTACTGCGGTGCCACGCTCATTGCACTCATGTGGAAGGCTTCGGTTAGGAATCCACATTCATGCCGTCCCCAAATCTCGAGGGACAGGGCAGCTGGCACTAAGCCTCCACTGAAGAAACATATGCAGCTCTCCCTCCAGCTGGGGATCAGAAACAGCCAGACTGTAGCCTGCGTCCTGCTCAGGAAGGGCTGGATCCTGATACCTCTCTCCCTCTGAATCGCACTTTGCTGTATGGAAGATCCTGTTGATTTCAGTGGAGTAAGGTACTGCTCAGTGCGAGGCGTCAGAATCTGGCCCCAAATGGCCTGATTTTACACACACAACAGCGTGACTCCAGTATTCCCAAAGGATAGCTAAAGAGTTGAAGCAAAACACCTTCAAACAAATTCCCTTAAAAATCAGACCAGCATGTTTAAGCTCCCACATTCTGTGGATGGGGATAGGAAGAGGAGCCTTGTACATTGCTTCTCCTACAACTGGTTCACGGACAGCCCTGCTGATTGCAAGATTGCAAGTTGGAAGCAGACTTTGTATCTGCTGCTGGAGATCCATATTCCTTTGTCAAAGCCAGGACAGGCTGAGAGTCAGTGTTGCTCTGTGGGCAAGGAGGTGGAAGACTGGCTGTGATAATTGTCTAGTAGCAGCTGCTCCTTGCAGATACACAAGGAAGCATTAGTGACAATCCCAGAGAGAAGGGAGCGAGTGGAGCTAGCCCAGCAGTGCAGGAGTCTGGGGGAGAGATGCAAAGGGGTCCCTTGGTGTGGGGCCAGCTGTGTGTGCGGTAGGGAGGGCACCAAGCAAAGACAAGACATGGAGGTGATGCATGAAGTCACAAATGGCGTATTAACCTGTTGGGGGTTTGTTTCTCTAGCGGGTTGGTATGGTACCTGGATTTGCTGAACCATGTTTCGTAGCTGCACCAGGAACTCTTTGGCTTCCTTGGCTCTGTCTGACAATCCATTCAGTGCCTGGGAGAGCTGGCTCTGCATGCAGAAAGAAATACAAAGCAGGTTAGCAATAAACAGAGCATACAGGAGCAGGTGGTTGGGGATGGCATTCATTCACACCAAGGAACATGTATTCTGGCCTCAGACCTTAAGTGGAGGAAGCATTGTCTAGTGATTGGCCTGGAGTTCAGGGTCCAAGCCCAGACCCCCTTCAGCTGTGTGACCTTGGGCAAATCACTGGAGTTAGCCCTGCACTTCAGTTTCCCCAAATGTAAACAGTGAGAGGAAGGATGGTCCAGTGGTTAGGATACTACCATGGGGCTTGGGAACCTTGGATTCAACTCCCCTTGAGACTTTCCTTTGTGACCTTGGCCCAGTCACTTAGGGCTTGTCTACAAAAATATTTAGTTTGCAGCAAACTAGGGTGTGAATCTAGCCCGCACTAGCCTGCCACGCACTAAGTGTCCATGTGCACCCTGCTGATGCGCACTAACAGCTTGTTAGTGTGCTTTAATCTACTCCTGTTTCACCGCGGGGCAGATCAAAGATGAATGGGTGGGTGTGGTGAGCCCCCTTTAGTTGAACAATAATTTGTATAATAAATAAACACAAAGGCTGAAAGTTTCAAACTCAGGTGCCTAAAGCCAGGCGACTAAATCCACATTCAGGCACCTGCGTAAGCGGCCTGAGTTTTATGAGATGAGCACTATCCATCCCATTGTGCTTGGCACCTTTTAGATTATCTAAACCCTTGTGCTAGTTTATCAGCCTGGTACAGAAAATGGAACAAATTAGTGGCACTCCTGGCTCAAAATGTCAAAGTGAATCTCTTTTAAACTACTTCGCAGTGGTTTCTACATCCCCAGGGCAGATAATGACACCTACCTGCATTGGTATTTTGATTTTCCTAGATTATTTAGAGAGCCCCCCCCCACCCCAAGATGAGCAGCTTCAATTAGAGCTATTCAGAAAACTTTCGACTGAACAGTTTTCCATAAGAAAATGCTATTTTCCCAAAATTGAAATGTTTTTGCAGGAATGTGGCGATTTTGATGAAAACATTTAAAAATTATTTGAAATTGAAATGGACTTTCTCATTTCATGTTGATTACTAAATGTACACGCCCCAGCCCATCCACCATTAAGAGTCCCAAGTTCATCTTCCCCCTAATTTCTTCTACATGCACTGTGACTATCCTCCTCTTGCCTGCCATTAATTAATTAATTATAATTAATTATTAATTATATTATATTATATTATATTAATGTTTCGACATTATCGAAACAAAACCTTTCAATAAGGTTGTTTCAATGTTTCTGAATCAATTATTTTTGGAACTTCGGTCCTGTGAGAAATTTTGAAATTGGAACTTTTCACCCTGATTCAGGGGGAAAACAAATTTCAAAAGGTTGGAATTTCCCACGAGCTGGAAATTCCATTCTGCAACCAGCTCCACTCAGAATCTTTATATATTTATCCTCACAACACCCCTGAGAGGCAGGGTAGTGGTATTACACCCATTTGACAGAGGGACACTGAAGCACAGAGAGATTAAGTGACTTGCCCAAGGTCATACAGAAAATCTGTGGTGCAGCAAGGAACTGAACACAGCTCTCTTGGGTCTCAGGTTGACACCCTGTCCCTTTCAACACTAAGGTCACTTACAATGCAGCAACCTCCCACCTGGTGTACTCCAGCAGAGTCTGATAGAGCTGAGTAGCAAAACACAATGCTGCTACTACTACTAAATACCTGGCAGTTTTCATTTTCATAGGGCTTTCCAAACGTTAACTAAGGGATCCTCCCATCTCCCCCGTGATTCTGATAAGTGTTATTATCTGGGCAACTAATCCACAGCAAACGACCTACTCAAAGGATTTAGCCTCTTTTGTCGGTTGCAAATGGTCAACAAACACACTGCAATTTTTTGTTTGAAACACACACTGGTGGAACAATTCCTGCAAACAGTGCTTGAGAGCAGTTTCCTGCAAGTTCCACGTTATTTAAACTAGAGGGATTCTGACTGGACGCAGAGGTGACATGCTATGTTTCCGTTCACGGATTGATGGGCACAGCTCTTTGAATTAGGTCTCCAGTGCGAATTCCCATGATTACAAATGCAACATTCGCTTTCTGGAATACACCATCACGTTGGCTACAACGCTGCTCTTTCTATGAACATCCCTGCAGGTGAAGGTATTTGCTAGAATACTTGTGGAATATGACTGCCAAACACAGCCAATGAAAATTCATTTCGACATTGTGACGAAGTGGGAATGTTCCTAATGTTTTCTCTGAATGCTGTGTGGGTGCCTCAGTTTCCCCTATGCATTTCTTAAGTATCTAGGTGGTGGGATAAGGGTGTGTGATTGTTGCAGACACCTTGTCTCCTAGCAACTGATGGCCTGGGTCCCTCCCCTGCGAGGTGCCAACTGAAGGTGTTGGAGAACAAAGAGATCCGGTGGCCTCTTTGCCCGGAAGAGAGACAAAGGCCAGAGGAGGGGCTGGAGGGAGTGTCAGTTTGGAGCTGGCTGGGGAAATGGAGGGAGGCCCAGAACTGGGGTCTGGGCTCCCCACCCCACAAGATGGACCTGACTGAGAGGTCCTGTTTTCTGTATCTACAAGCTCTGGTTTGACTGTGTTCCTGTCGTCTAATAAACCTTCTGTTTTACTGGCTGGCTGAGAGTCACAGTGAATCACAGGAAGTGGGGGTGCAGGGCCCTGACTCAAATATCTCAACTTATATTTGCAGAAATTCTATTGTCATATCAACCCATCTCTAATCACTTCCATCCAACCCCTGGGATAACGAGGCAGAGCGGCCCGGAGTGGGATCAGTGTCTGAGTTGGAATTAGAAGTCAGTCCCGGGTTCAGACAGCTACACCAGGACTCATGCTCAATGCAAACAACCCCATCCATGGCACTATTCTCCAAAGTGCACTTTGGGTGCCCCTCTGAAGACACCACACTGACTCTGGTAGCTGTGGGGTGCTCCTCACCCTTGAAAATCAGGCCGGACGTGTCTCAAGACAGGCACTCAAAATCAGCAGCCCCCTTTGAAAATGATTTCAGGCCTGGGATAAGTAGTTGAGCCCCAGATTTCAGCACTCCTTCCCCCCGCCCATAGTTCCGGGGGCCCCGTTTTGGGGCTTTTGCTGTGGGCTTGTCTCCAAGAGTTTTGCAAAATGTAATTGGCAGAAAAATGATTTCAGTGGTAAAACATATTTCTCTGTCATGTTATGGAAGTGCCTAGAAGCCCCAAGTCAGGCCCCACCGTGCAGGGTGCTGTACTACGGTGGCCAACTTTCTCATTTGTGAAAATTGGACACTGAGCGCCAGAACCTCCCCCGCCCTCTGCTCCACCTCTTTCCCTTGAGGCCCTGCCCCCTGCTCCTCTTCCCCCCATTGCTTGCTGCTTTCTCCACCACCCTCCCCCTGCCAGCTGAGCAGGGCTCTCGGGGTGACTGGTGCTGGAGCAGGACATCGGAGAGAGAGCTGGGCTCTGAGTGGGGGGGGGTGACGGGAGCAGGGTGGGGCAGGGAGATCCACGCTCAGGGGGTGAGGGTGGGTGACATGGGCGGGGCGGGGGAGCTGCGCTCCAGGGGTGGGTGGGTGGGGCAGGATGGGGGAGGGGGAGCCGTGCTCAGGGCAGGACGGGGGAGCCGACCACACCTCTCTCTGCCAGAGCCGTTGCCGAGTGCTCCTCCAGGCTCCAGCAGCAGCTGCTGCTTTTCCCACCCTCCAGTGGTGGAGGCCAGTTACTGCAGATAACCAGACTGTTAAATGTCCGGTCAGCAGTGCTGACCGGACACTACCAGGTTCCCTTTTCGACCGGACTTTCTGGTCGAAACCCGGCCACCTGGCAACCCTATGCTGTACGTGCATACGTGTACAGTCCCAATCTCCAGCACCAAGAGTTTACAGTCTGAACAGACCAGGGGAGACATGGTGGAGGGACTTGCCCAGGGTCTCCCAGCAAGCCAGTGGCAGAGCTGGGAACAGTGCCCAGGTCTCTAGAATCCCAGTTCCAAGCTGCAGCGATTGTCCCACCTTATTAACATGAAAGTCCAATACCACCCCCCCACACACGCTCTAGAAGTCCCAACCTTCTGACAAGTGGAGCTGTTTTAAAGGGGTCGACTGCGCAGCAGGTGTGCGACGAGTCTGCTCCTTCCTCCCTTTTAGCCCTCATTAGAGCAAAGTTTCATTTGTCAGCGTGGCTGGAGCTCTGCAGCTTGATTACTGGCAAGGCTGGCTGTCAGCAAAATGGAGCTCCGGCGGCAAAACTGCTCACTCCCGTGACTACACCCTTGCAATCAATCGCTCCTGCAGTATGCAAACAGGGTGCTGACAAGATGATGCACAGCAAGGCCGATGCCTGTGCATCATCTGCATAGGCAATGCTGCCGAATGGCAGCAAATGAGGAATTATACCAGGGAATTATAGGCAAATAGACAGCAGCAGAGCAGAGGGAACCGTAAGGCATAGGAAATCCATTGGCTGTAGCTTTTTTTCCTTTCTCAGGCTCCAACAACTGTCTCTGTTTGTCTAATTCAATGATTCCTCAGAGATCTGCAGAGCCGGGGCTGGAGGTGGGAGGCAGGGCAGGGGGCCGTCTTTTATTTGTGGAGATTGAGCTGGAAGGCAGTAAAAACCCTGGGAACCACATTTTGTCGCAAAAAAGGTAGCTGTACAAATCGGTCCCAGTAGTTCTGTTTGCATTTGCTCCGAGCTAGCAGCTTCTCCCCTTGCGCAGAAAGGCAGCCCAGAGATTATTGCTTGTTGCTTTAGTTTTACAACACACTTAATTCTTGCCTTTGAACCGTAATGGAGATTTTCTGCATCCAGGCTCCACATCGTCCCCCTCGTTAAACCATGAGCAGGCCGCTGGAGCCAGGGAGATGGAATGCTTTTCTCTCCACCACAATGCATTAGCTTGTGCTCTCCACATATGGCATGTGTAAGAGGGCAGAGGTACAATTCAAACCGCTGCCTCTTGAATTTTTGGACAGGAATGAGTCAAGTTTCTTTGCTGTTTCCTTTGCAATTCACTGCAAGTCATTTCACTGCTGGCAGTTTTTAGGGTTGTGTTCTTTTTGGTGTGTGGCAGTCCCTCAAGATGCCATCGAGATGCAAAGGCAAATGCTGCAGCTACTGAGTCAGTGACACGCTCAAGCTGTCCTCTGCATGCCGCATGTGCTGTGTGCCGCCAATTTCAGCCCCCTGTGCGTTTGCACTACACTCTTGCAGGCTTCTCTCCATTGGTCCTGATTTCAAGACACTATTTTTCCACCTTGGCGTCTTACTCCAAATCTCTGGCTCACCACAGGCAGGCAAGGAAACAGGATGAAGAGCTATTGACTGACAGCGCAGGAAGGGACACGAGATCATAGCGTGCAGTGCCTGGCAACATTGTGCTAGGCTAAAATTAAAAAAAAAAAATTTGTATCAAAGAGATTAGACGAGTGGCAACAGTTTAATGGCCCAGAAAATGACCTTACTGCTGCTTTCACAGGAAGCTTTAATACAACCGCCAGGATTTCTGCATTTCCTATATAATTTATTGTGGCAGTCATTAGGACGTGGAGCTAATTGGTAAAGGCGTCTCTAATAAAAACAGCCTCGCTCAGTCAGCCCCGCACCCCTCCCCCAACTGCATCACCAGACACAAAATACATGGAGAAAAGGATGCTGCTCTCTGAGACCCATTTCCCAGAGAGCAGCAGGGCCTGATTTGGATCTCCCTTACACTGGTGTAAATCAGGAGAGCGCAGTGGAGAAACACTGGTGTAAAAGAGGGGTGGGATCAGAATCAGGCCCTACAGAGTTGACCCCTGGCTAGATCAGTGTAACTGGGCTAGCACCGTGGTGGGCCAAATTCTTTGCTG